GCAGCGAGGAGGAGGAAGACGGGGAGCCAGCGCGGCGGCCGCCCCGACAGCAGTTGCAGCCACCCGTGCCGACGCTGACGACGACAACGACGGCGGGGGCGGCGGCGGCAGCGACGACGGCGGCGGCGGAAGCGACGACGGCGGCGGCGACGACCACGTTGTGGCCCTCGCGGGAACAGGCGGCCGAGGCGGCCGCTCCGGTGGCTGGTGCCGCCGAGCCCGCCCGGGAGAAGGACCAGGCAGTGCCAAAGGGGTCCGCCATTCGGGGGGGCGCTGGATCTCTCTGAGGATCGAGGTTGGAGGACTGATGCCTGGATCTGACGATTTCAGACGTTCGGGAAGGGTCTGGGGCGGATCGGGGGTCCTAATGGGTCCTCCCCACGTTCTCTTCCGCAGGAGGAGGTGGCAACCCCCGTAATGGCGATCCCCTTTTGGCACGGCTTGGAAGGAAGCCAAGGCCGGCGAGAACGCGTCTCGACTCAGGCGGAAGGCCGCCGGGGCATGGGGCAGAGCCACTTTTCTTTCGCAAAAGGTCAAAGTTCTTGTGACGTGATACTTAAATTGTGGGTTTGCTCACTCCGTGTGACAACGGCCGGGTTCGCCTTCTAGATTCTGCTCAAAACGCGCCCCAGAGAGGTGTCTGGAGGGGTTGTTCGAAGAGGGTGGAGGACGCAAACCTCTTTCGTCGCGTAGAACTCGTGGCGGCTGGCTTTCTTCAAATTTGAGCCCTTGCACCCTTTGGGAGGCCCCCTTCAGACCACGGGGCCATCGAAACACATTCCGGGATGAAAGGCCACACTTGGGGATGGTGTTGAGAGCTACACCCAGATCACGACAAAGTACAGATTTGTTGCTAATCTTCATCCCTGTTTTTCCTTCTCTCTCATACTCCTCCTTCTCTTCCCCCCATCCTCAGCTCTCCCACTTCTCCTCCCCCCACTCCCCAACCTCTTCTTTTTCCTTGTTCTCATAACCGCAATCCATCATTCATCCTCCTCCTCCCCATCCTCCTACTCCTCATCCTCCTCCTCTTCCCTTTAATTGGCATCGCTCGGACAGGTGCGTTTACTTGGCTCGGCGAGGACCATCGAGGAGCATGTTTTAGATCGTCTTGCGGGACAAGCGCACGAGACCGAAAAAACTACACGGGGAGTGGCCGTCCGAGCCATGGCCTTGGCATCGCTCGGACGTGTGCATTTTTTGTCGGCGAGAACCATCGAGGACCATCCTGGACCATCGAGCAACAAAAAGCACGCACGAAACCGAAAAATGCACGGGAAATGGACGTCCGAGCGACGGCAAGTGGCAAGCTGTTCTTCCGGCACGTTCCCTGCCCCTCCCCCTTCGTCCGCGCCCGTCCCCATCGGGCCATGATGCGCCCCCCCCCCCCTCTCCAGGGCCCAGTTCGATCCAAACGATCCGAGTGGTTGTCGATCTCGGCCACAGCCCAGCCCGATCCGATTCGGCTCCACTGTTCTGACGATCCGATGCGGCCCGATGCCTGCACGGCGCAGTGGTGCCTCCTGGCGCAGCCCATCCGATTCGATCTCGATTCCGTGTCGATGCGCCCCTTTGCGGTGCGCATTCCGATTCGGTCCGATTTCTCGACTCGAGGCGGATTGTTCTTGCCCTCCTCAGCCCCCTCCTCCCCCCCTGGTAAGTCCCCGTAGTCCCCGCTGGCCTCCACAGCATCAGCCTCAATTGGCCCCCGAGTAACCTCAAGAGGCCATTAAGGACCCCCCCGTCATTAGCACAGCACCGTAATTAAATAATTCTGGGGAGCGGTTTTCGCCGAACGATATGATTAGCACCGCGCACATTGAACGAAAATGAGTAATTCCCGCGCCCCGGCTCAGGTGGTATCCCAAGTGGAATTGGAATAATAATAATAATAAGAAGAAGAAGAAGAGTGAAATGCGAGTAATAATATAAGACTGAGGATAAGAGAAAGAGTAATAAGAAGAAGAAGAAGAAGAAGAAGGAGAAGAGAGTAAGAATAAGAGTAATAATCAGAGTTGTTTCTCATTATATTCATCATCTTTGTCCTATATGAGTTGTATTACCACCCCTGTTGAAGAATTGTTTTTTTTCCGGGCCGTCGTGTGGGGGTAGTGCATCCGAGGATATCGCCCCCGCCACGCACGGCGCGTTATCTTAGCACCGCACACGCACAAAATAATTACGATTGTTTGTCCAAAAGACGAAGAACAATAAGACCCAGAATAGGAAATAAGAATAAGAGTAATAATAAGAATGATAATGCTTGTTTCGGTGAGCAGACTCGTCTGCATTCACATAAAGGTGCGAGGTGCCAGGGTAACGCTTCTGGGGTGCCGGGTGCGTTATAATTTCGCCGGAGAGGGGGGGGGTATCTAAATTGCTTCCTGAGGTTAGTCAAAGGGCGGTCCCAACACCTCAACCCTCGGGCGCGGAGCGCCCCAGCAGACCGCCCCGGACTGCCCAGGCGGCCTGTCGAGGGTGGGGGGGGGCTGTCTTTGGGCAGCCCGAAGCCTTCCCAGGTGGCTCTCAGGCCCTGTGCGCCACCCGAGGCCTTGCCGCTCCCACCTTCCCTGAGTTCCGACGCAGCGGACAGCATGAAACACCGTAGAAGACCACGCCCAGAGCCCCTGCCAGTCGTCTAGTGCCCTGCCATCATAGGCAACCAGAGGGGCCATCATAGGCACCTCGCACCCAATTCGGGGCCATCAGCAAGGCTCGTTTTGGGAAGAAGGACCATCATAGGCCTTCGCGCTCAATCTGTTCATTGAACTCAACTGTCTCGTCATCGTCCTCCTCTTCCTCCCTGTCCTCCTCCTCCTGGTCCGCCCTTGCCCTCCCCCCCCTGGTGAGGACCATCATAGGCCTTACCAGTGAGGACCACCATGAGGCCTCACACCCCTTGCAGTTTCCATCACCGGAACTGCGGGGGTCGAACCAAATCCCCACAAACCTGGCGCCGTACGTGCAGTGCCAGGGGCGGCGGCCCGTCTTCCCATCTTACCATCATAGGAGGATGCGAAGTCCCTGAAGACGGGACGGGGTGGGCACGAGCGGGCATCATAGCCGGCTCAAAATCAAAAGAGGCATCATAGCCTCATCAGTCTAGATTGATCCACTCACGGATCCACTGCGATTTATTTCCATTGAATTCATTCCATGCGTAGCATGCTCACCCCTAATGGACCGTGAACGGGACCCAGTCCCCTGCCGGTCGTCTAGTGCCGCCATCATAGGCAACCAGAGGGGCCATCATAGGCACCTCGCACCCAATTCGGGGCCATCAGCAAGGCTCGTTTTGGGAAGAAGGACCATCATAGGCCTTCGCGCTCAATCTGTTCATTGAACTCAACTGTCTCGTCATCGTCCTCCTCTTCCTCCCTGTCCTCCTCCTCCTGGTCCGCCCTTGCCCTCTCCCCCCCCCTGGTGAGGACCATCATAGGCCTTACCAGTGAGGACCACCATGAGGCCTCACACCCCTTGCAGTTTCCATCATCGGAACTGCGGGGGTCGAACCAAATCCCCACAAACCTGGCGCCGTACGTGCAGTGCCAGGGGCGGCGGCCCGTCTTCCCATCTTACCATCATAGGAGGATGCGAAGTCCCTGAAGACGGGACGGGGTGGGCACGAGCGGGCATCATAGCCGGCTCAAAATCAAAAGAGGCATCATAGCCTCATCAGTCTAGATTGATCCACTCACGGATCCACTGCGATTTATTTCCATTGAATTCATTCCATGCGTAGCATGCTCACCCCTAATGGACCGTGAACGGGACCCAGTCCCCTGCCGGTCGTCTAGTGCCGCCATCATAGGCAACCAGAGGGGCCATCATAGGCACCTCGCACCCAATTCGGGGCCATCAGCAAGCAAGGCTCGGCCTTCGCGCTCAATCTGTTCATTGAACTCAACTGTCTCGTCATCGTCCTCCTCTTCCTCCCTGTCCTCCTCCTCCTGGTCCGCCCTTGCCCTCCCCCCCCCCCCCTGGTGAGGACCATCATAGGCCTTACCAGTGAGGACCACCATGAGGCCTCACACCCCTTGCAGTTTCCATCACCGGAACTGCGGGGGTCGAACCAAATCCCCACAAACCTGGCGCCGTACGTGCAGTGCCAGGGGCGGCGGCCCGTCTTCCCATCTTACCATCATAGGAGGATGCGAAGTCCCTGAAGACGGGACGGGGTGGGCACGAGCGGGCATCATAGCCGGTTCAAAATCAAAAGAGGCATCATAGCCTCATCAGTCTAGATTGATCCACTCACGGATCCACTGCGATTTATTTCCGTTGAATTCATTCCATGCGTAGCATGCTCACCCCTCTCCCTGCGCCGTCTCTCGAGCCGCGTCGATCTGTGCGGGCCCCAGAGCCCGAAGCCGGGCGGCAGCGCTCGGCTCGAAGAGGCCGAGGCGCCAGGATCTCAGGGCTGCCCGCGCAGCCCGAGGCATCCACGAACCCCCGGTCTGGCGCACGCGACGAGGCGCCACGGCACGTGGCCGCGTCTCCCAGGGGCAACGATACAGGGGCGGCGTGGCATCGCTCGGACGTTTGCATTTTTTCTCGGCGAGAACCATCGAGGACCACCCTGGACCATCGAGGAAAAAAACGCACGAAACCGAAAAATGCACGGGAAATGGGCGTCCGAGCGATGGCAATGGGGACAGGCTCAGGGGGGGGGGGGGGGGCATCGGCCCCCAATCGCCCATGCATCGTCGATGGGGGCCCGAGAGCCCCGCCCTGCCCAGGAGCGTGCGGAGTCGCCATCGGGGGCCCATCGCCGATTTGTCGGTGACGTATGGTTGACTCCAGGCCGATGTTTCCCCCCTGTGCCGGTCCCTTCCAATCGTTGCCCCTCAGATCTCGCGGGCCCCTGGGGCCGCCCTGGAGTGTCGGGAAGCCGAGAAGGCGAACCTTTTGAAAATCCTGCCCCCAACGTCGTTGCCTCTTGGGTGCCTTCCTGAGAGCGCTCTTGGAGGCCTCTCCCTGGGGCCTCTGGGAGGCTCTCTGGCGCACGTCGCCGCGCGGGCGCCAGGCGCTTCGGGCGGCGAAGTTCGCCGCCGCGGCGGGGCAGGCGCCGCAGGCCGCCGGGGCGCCCGCGGCGGACGCGCCGGCGCCCGGGCGGCGGAAGAAGAAGAGGAGGGCCCCATGGGGACGGGGGGGTCCGAGCTTCCGCTGGCCGTTCCCCTCGGGGAGGAGGCTCCTCTTCGCTGCTCGCTCCCCACTCCTCCAGCCTCCCCCCGGGGGACTGCCTGGGGAGGATCCGTCGATTCGCAGCCCGACGCCGTTCCAGTCGAGAGGCTGGGGGTTTGGTTCGGGTCGAGGATGGAGGCTTTGGCGCCCTCTGGCACGGTCAGGGATGGCTGGGGTCGGGGGGGGGCCTCGGCCCCCCGCGCGCACGCTCGTCGCCGACGGGGGCCCGATGGCCCACCCCGTCCGGCAGCGCTCGGCTTCGCTGGCAGGGGCCTCTCGCCGAGCTGTCGGCGAGGCATCGCCGGTTCCAGCTCGGTGCTCCCACCCGCGGGTCCCCCCCTCACTCGGGCCGGACGAAAGGGGGGGATTGGGAAATGGGGAGTTACGAAATTTGCTGCATGCAGCTGGTTTCGGCCCCTCCGAGGGGCCCCTTCCTCGATACACAGTCGCCTCTGGCGCCGGGAGGCGCCGGGAAAATCAGCTACGCGAGCTGATTCTCAAACCCCCCCTTTGCTATCCCCCCCTTTCGCCCGACCCGACTAACGTTCCCCCCTCAGCACAGCCGCGCGGGGAGTCCTTGGTCAGCCGCTAGCCCGCTCGGCCCGGATCCCTTGGGCAGTTGGCCGTTCCCCTCGGGGAGGAAGCTCCTCTCCGCTCCTCGCTCCCCACTCCTCCAGCCTCCCCCTCTCTCCCCTCCCGTGCATCCTCTCCCTGTATTCCAGTGCCTCCTTGACCTTCCTTCTAGGTCGAGGTTCCTTGCGGGGTCACGAAACGTGCGAGGGGTGTGCCGAAATGAACGCGGGGGGCGCATACGAACCTTGCCACAGGAGCTCGCGGTGGAGCTTCCTGTGGGGCCACGAAACGTGTGAGGGGTGCGCCGAAGTGGACGGGTGGGCGCATGCGAGCCTTGCCACAAAAGCCTTCGGTGGAGCTTCCTATGGGGTCACGAAGCGTGTGAGGGTTGTGCCGAATTGGGCGCGTGGGGCGCATGCGAGCCTTACCACAGGAGCATTCGGTGGAGCTTCCTGTGTGGCCACGAAACGTGTGAGGGGTGCGCCGAAATGAGCGAGGGGCATGCAAACCTTGCCACAAAACGTTTGAGATGTGTGTGTGTGTGTGTGCCGAAATGGTCGGGGGCACGCATGCGAACCCTGCCACAAGAGCCTTCGGTGGAGCTGCTCCCTGTGAGGCCGCGAAACGTGTGACGGGTGTGCCGAAATGAGCGGTGGGCGCATGCGAGCTTTGCCGCAAGAGCCGCCTTCGGTGGAGTTCTTGGTGGGGCCACGAAGCGCATGAGGGGTGTGCCAAGATTGACATGCGTAGGGCGGAGGCAACGATGGGAGAAGGAGAAGGAGAAGCAGAGGAAGAGAGGCGAGGAGGCGCAGGCGCTGCTGGTTCGAAACGAGGGCCCAACACCACAGAATGGTTTGGAACTGAAGCAACGTGATCGCGGGGTGCCCGCGCATAATCCAGATTTTGTCGCCGCGTGCGCCTTGTATTGGTTTCTGACGGGGCTGGTTTGGGAGGTGTTGTTCCTGGTCGGCGGCTGGTCGAGTGGAGGAGGGCGTGCTCACTAATCAGAGGGAGTAGCAAACCCTGCCTGAAGCTGGAAGGTGGCTGGAAGACCGAAGCGTCTAAGACCCACAGCACAAAGGGCTGGTGATAGTTGGTACGGGCTGGGCCCATAGCCTGTGTATTCATAGCTGTCGGTTGCATTTTTATCACTAAAGCCACAGATTGTAGCACGTCGCCTTCGCTTGGACCCTTGCACCGAATGCTCGAGTGGCACCGCTCTCGCAGACTAGCCCCTATGCCACGTGTCGTGTTCGGTTCGGGCACGTGTTGCAACATGAGGGCGAGCGTGAAGTGAAGTGAGGAAAGGCACGGGGGCGGGCCCTTGCTGGGGAATATGGCACGAAGTTCATGCGAGCGGGGAGACATAGTGAAATGCAACCGCGACTCAGCAGCGGAGGACATTTGTATGCAGGCATGCGACCAGGTTGCCAACGAGAGCAGGGGGGGCGACGACATGCGTAGCTCAGGTGTCACAGTCAATCGATGTGAAGGTCAAGCGGTAGGTTCTCATTGCAAGGTTGTCATGAGAGTGGGAGATGTGGCAGGAGGAGGACGCAGAGACGAACGGCAACAGAAAGGCTCAGCAAGCAGAGCACGATGCATCGAAGCAAATTCGCCCTGCATGCTCCAGAGCTGGCGTGGGGGTGAATGGCAGGACTCCTGATGCAGCATGATGCTCCGGCAGGAGTTGGTCCCCCGCGGCCAAAAAAAGGTGTGCGCCGCGGCACTCTGCCACGCTTAGCGCGTCGAGGGCCGGAGGGAGGCTGAGGGCGTCTCTCGCTCTTCTCCGTTCCCCCCACCTCCACGACGCCTGTCTCGGGGGTGGACAGAACCCCCAATAGTGACACGTCGATTAGTGAATTGTCCGTTTTCGGTTTTCGAGAGGGCGCCGTGGCCGTTATTTTCCAGGCTTGCGCCCGCCAGGTTTGGGCCCGAAGTCGTTTTCACTAAACCACGTTTTACTAAAGGGAGGTCTGTCCATCCCCGACTGTCTCTTTTCCCTGTACCTGGCATCGCTCGGTTGGCGCGGACCATACGAGGAGCATCCTGGATCACCGGGCAGAGGAAGCACGCGCACGAGAGCGAACAACTGCCGACGGGCAATGGACGTCCGAGCGACGGCAGGTTTCCGACCCCGAGGGAGCGAGGACGACCGCGCATCGCGCCTCTCTCGGACCGCGAAGCACGGCATGAGCTGACCTGGGCCGTGCAGCTCCTCGCTACAAGGGCTCCAGCGTCACCGATTGCACACCTCGGCCATATTCAATTCGGGTAGTGTCCTCGTCCTCTTCGTCCTCTTTGACGTCGATCGGACTTCAAGCACGGGGTTCGCAGCGTTCTCCTCCTCCTCTCCATCTTCCCCATCCGTTTCCTCCTCCTCCTCCTCCTCCTCCTCCTCCTCCTCCTCACCGTAACCATGTTGGCTCAAGATGCCGAATTCCGCGACAGAAGATGACGTTCGATGTCGTCGGCTTCCAGGAGCACCGTATTAAGCACGGCGCCAAGCTGAAGTCGGCGGCGACCTGGGCGAGGCGTGCTGGCCTTGAGTTCTTCGGAGGTCTTGCTCAGGACACGGGCCCAGGGCCCCGTGACAGCTCTGGGGGAGTGGCCGTCCCCACGGCGATGGCGGCGGCCAGCGTGGAGAAGCCCAAGGAGTGCAGTGTGCTGGGGCCCCATCGGGCGAGAGCCCCGAAGCTCAACACGGGCCGGGGTTTCCCGATCTTTTTCATCTCGGCCTACATGGTGGACAGCATCGGGGTCACGGTCGACAACATTGCGCTGCTTGAGGCCCTGCAGTCCTGGGTCGGCAGCCTCGACTGGCCGTGGGTCATCCTGGCGGACTGGAGCATCGAGCCCGACGACTTGGCCAGCTGGGCCAAGCAAGCCTCAGGAGTTCTCGTGCGTCCGTGGAGTCCGACTTGCGGCAAGCGCGAGTACGACTACGCCATAGTGTCTGGGGTTCTTGCCAGTCGGGTCGGCGCGGTCAAGGTGCTGAGTGACGCCCCGATCTCGCCACATTCGCCTACCACCATCGAGCTGAAGGGCCTGCACCAGATAGCCACGGTCACCAGGGCGGTTTACCCCAGTCGGTACCCGATGGCCCTGCCACCTCCAGCACAGGCAGCGCCGCCCGAGCTAGCTGAAGGCGAATGGCCGTGGTGCTCGAGGGCTGGACCCACCGATGTGGAGGAAGCTTCCAAGTTCTGGTACGCCATGGTTGAGGACGACCTGGACAGGCTACACCAGCTGGAAGGTCACAAGCTGTGCAGACTGGCCAGAGGCAGAGGCCTGCAGGTGGAGACTGCTCCCCTGGTCCAGGAGTGGGAGGACACGCTGAAGGAGACGTCCAGCGCCGAGTACTGCAAGTGGGCAGGCCTGCTAGCGTCTTGCAGAAAGGCGGCCGCTCCCCGAGGGCACCAGCTGGACAACGGTTGGGTCAGGTACTCCCGCTTTGAGCTCCAGGTCCGCATAGTGCGTGCGTTCGGGTTCGACAGGGCGGAGTGGCCGACGTCTGGGCCGCTCGCTGCCTGGGACCGGCATATCATTGCGCACGCTTTCCAGGGTCTGGACATGCACGACTACCACGCCCTCCTGGTCGACCTCCACGACCACGTAGCCTCCGTCCAGAGGAGGGACAAGGCCAAGCGCAGCAAGGAATGGAGAGAGTGGGCACAAGAGGCAGCCACCACGTCAGGAGGCCAGAAGGCACACCGTTGCATCAAGGATGGCAGCCTGATCCCGTCGACGGTGATCGCGCACGAGGACGGCGAGAGCGACCCTGGCTTCCCAGTGGCAGGTGATGTCGCCATGAAGGTGCTGATGAAGGAATGGGGGAACCTCTGCGTTCACCCCGACAGGCAAGGGGACTCAGACCCACGGCTCTGGGCGAGCGGTGCTGGGGGCGCTTGGCATGACCTCCCGCGCATCACCATGGACGCCCTGGACTAGGTGCTGGCTTCCTATGGGGAGGACACAGGCCTTGGGTGGGACCGCCTGCACCCACGGTAGCTTCGGCGGCTGCCGCGCCACTACCGACAGGCGTTCCTGGACATCGCGGAAGCCTTGGAGAAGCAGCCGACGAGATGCTCGCTGCGGATGCTGCTGGTGGTCTTCCTGCCGAGGCCCCCGCCTGGAGGTGCGCGGCCCATCATCCTGGCCAGTCTCTGGACTCGGGTCTGGTCAAAGCTGCGCCAGCCTATCGTCGCAGCGTGGGGGTGCAGGATCGACCAGTCCTTCCACTGGGGCACCTCCGACCGCCCATGCGACAAGGCTGGGTTCGTGCACAACGTGATGACCGCCTTCGCCAGGACGACAGGCATGGCGTCCAGCACCCTGGCGGTCGACCTCACGAAGTACTCCGAGATGACCAGCCACGACAAGCTCTACGACCAGGCGGTCGCGACGGAGTTCCCCATGGTGCTGCTCAGGGCCCTCTGCTCGAGCTACCGCCTTCCGCGCAGGGCGATGCTGGGCAAGGGGGTCGGGCCACCCATCGAGGCCGACGGCGCCGCGGCAGCGGGCTGCTCGCGCGCGGTGGGCATCGCCAAGCTGCTGACCTATGCCCTGCTGCGCAGCGTCGTCAGCAGGCACCCTCTGGCGCGGGCCCAGAGCCCGGTGGACGACTGCCTCCTCCAGGCAGTCGGCGCGACTCGCCCGGCGGGGCGCCAGTTGCCCCAAGCTGCCCACGTCCTCTCCGAGGGGCTACAGCAGAGGCGCCTCAAGGTTAACTGGGGCAAGACGGGGTGGATGGCCACAGATACGGAGCTGGCTCAGGAGCTGGACCGCCACTGGTCTGACCTCGGCCTGGCCAGAGCCTCGGGCATGAGATGCATTGGTTGGCGACGCCAACGACGGCAGCTGAAGGCGAGTACCTGAGCAGGACAAGAGGCTCGCCCGAGCCAAGAGGGCAGCAGGCAGGATGCCGCGGGGGCCAAGACGTGCCACGTCTTCCGTGGCTCACCGTGCGCCACGGCGCGCTGGGGATCGGCGGTCACTGGCATCGCAGACGGGAAGCTGAGCGGGCTCAGGGTGCACGCACTCAGAGCCGAGGGCAGGCTGGCCCCCGGCACCTGCCCGGCCTTCAGGGCGCGCACCATGCCGCGGGCAGTGGTCAGGGACCCGTTCGTGGTCAGCGCGGCGGAAGTGGCCACGGCGTGGCCCATCGGAGTTCGAGACGGGCCCCATCCAGCAAGAAGTTCTCAGAGCGGTTCACGCTGACGCCGCGCAGCCGCTGGACGTCGACAAGCCGCGGAACAAGCGCACTGACCCAGGCCACCAGGGCTGTCTGCCAGCTAGCTCGGCACAACCTGCTGCTCGACCATCGCCTGCGCGGGATCGACTTCGATGTTGTTCGCCTGGCGCTGTCTGCCAGGCGGCCCGTGCCTCTGCCTGTGCCGCCTCTGATGTCACAGCTCTGAGAAGGCTCGGGTGTCTTTGGGCTTCTGAGCTCCACTGGGGGCCCGCGGTGTCGGCGTTGGCGAGAACCCCAGAGCTGTGGACCAAGAGGCACGTCAATGCCTTCCGGTCTGTCAGTTGCGGGGCCCACTGGGGCCAGAGCAGGCTTCACGCGAAAGGGGGAGCCACCCGCCCGTTTTGCGCGAAATGCGGGGGGCCCGCGGGACCCTTCAGCACCGTTGTTTCGATTGCCCTAGCGCGGAGTTTCGCAGGAAAGAGTTTTGCCCGCTAGAGCTGCCCAAGAAGGCGGCTCGCATCGCCCTCAGAGAGGGCGAGGAACTCGGTGATTATTTTGACAGAGGCATCCTGCCCTCGCCGTCGAGTGCATCTCAGGATCGAGATATCCCCGAGGAGGATCACATCCGCTACGTGGGGCGCATGCCTGGACGGCTCTTCGAGTGAGAGGTTTTTGTGGACGGCCCCCCCCATTCCTTACCCAGCATGGTAGCCTTCGTCGCGCGGGATGGTCTGTCATCAGCTGCAGCGGCGATGGCTCGTTCAGATGTGGAATGCACGGTGCTGCCCCCTTGGCATGGCCTATGACGCAGTCCTCTTAGGGGCGCGGAAGATTATGCGCTCCACATGTTGTCGCGTTACTCGGTCGCCCCTGCCAGCGACGGGCCCTCGACTGTCTTCTCAGACTGCGCTGGGCCCATAGGCGGCGCCAGGAACGCCTCGAAAGCGCTGAGCCCCATGAATCCCAACATACATTTCTGGGGGAGCTGGTGGCTGAAGCACGGAGAAAGTTCCAGCGTGAGAAATGTCAAGGCACAGTCGGCATCTCAAGATGCCTCTTTCTGAGATGCGTGCGCGGCGCAGGCTCGGCGACAGTCTCGCGGACCGCGGGGCCAGAAAAGGGGCCCTGCTCTGGAAGGCTCCTTCCCAGAAGGCCCTCTTCTTGGAAGCCTGCGAAGACACTGCTGCCAAACTGGTTAGATGGATTGGTCATGTGCACGCGTGGATAGGAGACCACGGGGCCTGGGACACAGGGCGTGGTAGGCACCTCGGGTGTTGTCCTTGACATAGTATGACACTGACGATCGTGGCGCAGCGGCCCTCGAGGCACCCCTCAGGACACGCGTGAGGCTTGACTGGAGGCTCGCCGCCTCTGCCCCGCCGCCACCCGAGCCCGAGCCCGAGCCGGTCGACGTGGGGGGCGCGGGGGCGGGGGTGGTGTCTGGGAGGCCGTGGCTGTTTCAAGGGCACTCGGTGATGAAAT